TCACTTAATCATTATGGCCGAATGCAATCAACCGAAGAAGGTCAAAGACCTAATGACACAACATTTAACCACCCCAACTAGGAAATTGGAATGACCCTCGCAATGGCTGACTTTCGTAATAATGCTGTAATTAAGTGGGACGGAATAAATAATGATTTCCTATCATGTGCAATTCACTGACATGCACGGAAGGCTTCCTCTCGAAATAAAACGACCACTATCATAGCGAGTTGCACAATCTGATGCAGTTCGTTCTGACAAACCACACTGTTTCCAGTCGACGAAAATTTCGTTGAAAGCGTCACGGCTGGCCACCAAAGTGCACAGAAAGGTCGGGTAACGAACGTAAAAACACCTTCTTGATTAATCTTGAAATTGCGTACTTTTCGTGACTACCGTAACTTAACGCCTAATTTTATTTCTAGTGATTACATAGTCCAAAAAAATAGCTACTTACACACGATTTTACGGAGTCATTTTCACTCAACATTCTAAGTAGTAACATGCTAGTGTTGAATCTTAATCATAATCAGCTATTCCAGTTCTCCATAAATTAATTTAGATTATTTCATGCATGAGCATGATCTACATCGGCTTGGATTGCTATGTTTTTCTATTTAAATTGATGTATTCAATCCAATCCTGCATTTACTGGCGAAGTTGTTCCAAGCCTGTACAACAGCTCCAAGAGGCTGGAACTATTCTGCGCTCTAGGGGCAATGTATTTACTACCGATCAGTTGTTTCATGTGTCCAGTTAAGCCAAATCTGCACTTCACAAAATATTCCTAAATCGATGGGAAACGTGGGAACTGGGATTTTCCCAAGATCTTTCACATGGATTCTAAGTTTTTTTGATATTGTTTCATGTTGTGGTTAAAATATATGTACAGCTTCTAATGTTTCTCTCACCTAGGTGATCAAATGTTGATAACCGCCTTTGTTTTACGTTCAGCTCTTTGTCGTACTCGTCGGTATACTTGCTGAAATTTTACTTGTGGAGGGGCCACTGCACTTTTCCAACATTGGACACGCAAAGAATTTGAAGTAGCTGACTTCACTAGCCCATAAGGTTACTCGAGAACGTTTCTTAAACGATAACATAGAGGTTTTAAAGTAAGCGTTAGAAGGGATGGAGTCCCGAGGTGGGTGAGTCAACTGGATGATCAATTCTTACCTCATCCCAGCGCTTTGCATGAGAAAAACATGTCACCCACTCCGTTGCTTCTCCCCTCATAAGGCTTGGGTAACGACTATAGATATCCCATGCATTAGAACACTTCTCTGGGCTCAAATGGGAGCACAAAGCACAAACCATTACTTCTCTCCGCTCTGCCACTCAATGTTGAAAAAGAGAGATGTCTCTCATTAATTACATTTTCGCCCTTCTTTCGATAAATCAGTTCGTTTCTTTTCAGACAAAATGGCTAAAAGTCTGCGTTCAAAGTTCAAGCGGAAGATGCGCTCAATAGCCAGAGCGAAAAAAGCTCCTAAAGAACGGATTCTTCTTGATGCGGCAGTTGCCCGAAGAGAGGCCTATGAACTAGAACAAGCAGGTCAATTTCATTTTCATCTCATTTTCATTGTAATCTCATAGCTGTATTCACCACACTGACTTGAGCAGGAAGCAAGCAGACTGGTCATATTCCAGGGAACATTGTTTTAACTAAGGAATTCATTGGAGCAATAGTGGGTGCAACATTCGTCATCTTTGGGTCCAATTTTTGGGGAAATCTCTGCGAGGAGTGTATAGAATTCTTCGCATTTAATTGCCAGTGGAGAGAGCCTCGGAAAACGACCCTGGGTTACTCACAAAAAGTACTTTTTTCAAGTTGCTGCCAGATTTCCTTTTCCAAAGAGACATTTGTTGGGATTGGAGTTTTGTTGAGTATCGTATCCCCTTCTTTCCTGACATTTGTACATTGTGTGTCATGCCTTGGTGTCCGATATAAGAAAGATCACAAAGAACAGTAGTTTCGGTCTGTTCTTTTTCGCTTTTCTTTTTGAGGCAGTAGGATTTTTTTGGAAGCTGCAATGCTTATGCGCTGTATTCATTCATCACTATTTCTTCTTCCCAGTATCTTCGACCCGAAGAAAGTTGTCTGGATTACGACGAAAGTAGCCAAGCCTGTATCAAGCCTTATCCTGCAAAATGTTACGATAGTGGGCCAATACCCTTTCATATTCATTTGTTTTGGGATACATGCAAACAATACCCATTGAATAAATCTTAAGTTTTTTGAAGCTTCACATCCCTCTTAATTCTGATGAACGTGGATTTGACCTGTATAAGCTAAGCCTTATTATTGGGTATGAATAGGAAAGAGTTGACCCTGCCATTTTGAAGAAGTTTTGCGACCGTACTGTTCATCCGGAAATGAGGAAGTGCTAGTTGTGTTATATGTATGTGTAGCGATATGGCACCAGTTAATAAATATTGAAAAATTCATTTTTAGCCAAGGAAGATGAAGCTGCAAAAAACGCTCCTGGCACGGACAAGCTCGAAACGGTGGGCAAGCTTTACAACTCATTCTGTTTATTGGTTTCATAAGAATGCGTAAAAATCGAAAGATTACCGTTTCCTATGGTTTAGATGGATGACACAGGCGAGGGCACCGCCAAGAAAGCCACCATAAACCTGAAGACGATGAAGCGAGCCGATGGAACGTACCCTCCATGGTTGAGCGGATCGTGAGTTCTTACCATCAACTAAATTACTCTGAAGTGATTTATTAGGTTACCTCATTCAAAAAATCGAACTAAAGTGGAAGGAGAAAGGAATCCGATGTTTCAACTTCTAGTAAATGAGACCCCTCTGTCTTCACCGATCCATTCCCTACGTCACGGCCGCATCAGAGCGCCAAACTGCTTACTTCCTTCAGCAAGCACGGACAAGATGCTGTTTAGTTCTGCTTTAGTAGCCGTGCTGTTACCAAAGCATTGCCTGCGCCACGTGCCCCACGTTGAGCAAAATTGTTGAAGTCGCACGCATGTTGTCGCACGGTCGCACTGTTGAGGTGTGGGGTAAGCGATCCAGGATTTTATAGATTTCCTTCGAAGGCACAGTTCTCGATAATATCGCTTAATCCATGTTATGACGAAAAATGGAAGGTAAGGTGGAAAATAGGGCGATGAAGGCTAAGAAAGGGCGCAAGTCGGTGTTCCCAAAGTGAGGTTGCAAAAAAAATTCGTTAAACAGGGGGCTGGACGAGAAGAAAAACAGAAAAATGAAGGAGTGTTCGAACCACACAATGTGTGTCATTGCGTATGTGTGGGTCCTGGTACGAATAGCTGACTGCAATAAACAGAAATGCTCTTCAAATCATTCACTCATAAGCATAAGTTGACAAGGACGCTAGCAGCAAAAATAGGCCTTTCGGCCTCTTGAGGTGGAAAATTTGATAAAGAATCGCAACAGCAAGAATAGCAGAGAATATATAATAGAAAAGGAGAAAAACATCGCCTCGCTACTCGGCGATCAGCTGATTGCGTGCTGAACGTGTGGGTCCTGACGCGAATATTGCATTCATTTATTCATCTCATCGCACGCCCGCCCGTCGTGAGCGAGGTTTCGCTGAGCTCGCGCATGCCCAGCACGCATAAGGCCTTGCTCGCTCTTTATATTTTTTCCTGGCCTGGACGAATTCGTTAATCGAGTTATAAATCCCTGTGGAAAGTATCGACCACTGTGAGAACGCTCCGCCCACCGCCGGTGAGTCTCTCTCAATTCACTTGTTGACCCATCCTTACTTTTGCCCATTTTTTCTCGGCGTCTTGGCGTTATGGAACCTAGTTAGTAATTTTTTGTCCATGAAACTGCCCACTCGAAGCTCACATGTGCTTTATTGCTCTTGTCCTATGCCCAACACGACTTCGGCAGGTGCTTTTTAAAATAGTATATAATTTCCGTACAAACAAACAGACACAGAGACAGAAGCAAGCGCTTTATATATAGTAAGTATTTTTTCAATCGGCCGGAATAATGAAATTTTGCAGTGATATAACTGATTGTGCTAGTTTCCGATCGAAGCAATGCCCTTGAAGCCAGCATCTTTCTTTTTCCCATCTTTCAAATATATGGTATTTTTGAATGAGATGACCGAGTAGTACGCAGTAGTTATTTAATTAAATTCTTCACTCGGATATGAAAAATATGTATGGTAAAATATTCATTATAGCATGAAGAACAAGCTGAGTAAGAAGAACAAGGCTATCAAAAAGAAGAAGCTACAGAAGGCGAAAAGCAGGCGGTGATCTTGTGAGGAATCTGAATATTGTTATCGTTCAAGTTGTTGATGTTGTTTATTATACATACTTGTTGAATGAACGGTTGTTCATCGAAGCATCGTAAAATAAATTCACAAACTTATTGACTTGTACTCTTTTTTTGTGCAATTAGAAGAGAATCAGGGAAATCAATTGAGTTTCAATCCCTCCTTAAGATGTTCTAAGACGATGGATAACATCTATGAAGATGGTGAGGTTCAATTGTGGTCAATGAGGGGATCCTAATTTCAAAAGGGTGGTCTTGCAAGACCTTCTAATGGACCAATCGATGCAGTCAGCAGAAAGGTAACGTCTGGGTTTGCTGGAGATCTCGTGGTGTAGTGGTTANCACATCTGTCTAACACACAGAAGGCCGGCGGTTCGAGCCCGCCCGAGATCAAATGTTTTGCAAGTAACTGGTGAGTTAGCAATCGGACTGAATGACTGTTCTAATGTTCATGGAACTAGGGAATGTGGCCATGAAATTAAATTGACCCGTGGATTTCTTCAAAACAGTTGAGTTGCTCTCTTATTCAACCTGATGCTGAGGCTTACTCATAAAACTCTGTCAGGCTCTGTCTTAGTAGTAGCTGTTGCAACACTTCAAGGGAGGTATCGCTGAATGGTCTATGAACTCCTCTCTCCTTGGCCAGTACACCTTTACTGCCTCTCACGTGAAAAGACAGCGTCCTTCTTAAATACTACACCTATGTGAATGAGGGGCATTGACGGGTGAATCATTGTTATAATGAAAATTCCTCTGAATTGTGACGTATTGCGATTCGTGTGAAGTTCTTGCAACTCCTCTCTCAAGCAGGGGAAAGTACTCGCAGAAAGCTAGCGATTCAGGAAGTTCCTCTCAAGAAAAAAAGGGGAAACTGCTGGGCTAACTTCGCGCTTCTACTGCAAGCGTAACAGTGCAACCTGATTTCTTTCAATTTCTCATTTGCTGATCTTTGAAAATCAAAAGTTGTGAGCTACAATTGATGAAAAACTAGAAATTCCCGAAAAGAAAGCTTAAATTTGGCAAAAAATCGAGTTTGATGTAAAACTGAAAGTTGTCGTAGAAGTTGGAGGCGTTATTTCTACCCTTTTACTCTTCAACTCGCTCCCAAGCTTACAAAAGTAAGCTTAGGCAAAAGAGTTTGGGGCTTTGTCAGCTACATTAATCCCGGAAAGACTGGAATCAGCAACGGTTCGATGATGTGTTTTTCTCTGTGATCTGTCAACGAGAGATTTTTACGATCCGAGCAGGACCAAATACGTTACACAGAGTGATGGAATACGGTGGTAAGCCATTGGAGGTGAATTGGAGGGAAGTTGTCTCCACCATAGCCTACCATTTGCCGACAAGCAGGAGAAGGAGACAGGGAAGGTTCGTGCAAGCACCGCGTGACGGTTGCTGAGCTTGAGTTGTGAAGCCAGGGAGCATTCAGTTCACTGCAAATGAGCGATTTTTTTGAGTAGTGCCCTGCAATTTACGACAACTTTGTGGTGCCATCTCGTTTTATGTTTGTGCCCATAACTGCAATCTCACACGGTAACTAGTAAAGGAAGTCAGTGTAGGCGATGGAAGTGAGATATGCATCACCTGCTGTGCCATCTACATGTGCAACACTCATGCCGTCCAAGATGTGCTTTGGTGGCCAAAATGGTAGCTGGTCAGGCTGTCACCTGCGTGGTCAGGGGTTCAGATCTGAGAAGGACCTGCTCTTCGTCAAGATTTTTGTGCACAACTTGGAATGCGATGTTTGTTAATGACAAGAAAGTACTTCCTACTGCTCATTGCATAAATAGCGTAGAGGATACATATCCCGGAAGTCATCTGCAAGGTGGGGGGTTCAACTCTTTGGTAGTGCTGCTTTCTTGTCAGAGTCGTACAAAAATGTCGTGTGCACCTTCTNGGACCTGCTCTTCGTCAAGAATTTTGTGCACAACTTGGAATGCGATGTTTGTTAATGACAAGAAGGTACTTTCGACTGCTCGTTGCATAAATAGCGTAGAGGATAAAGATCCCGAAAGTCGTCTGCAAGGTGGGGGGTTCAACTCTTTGGTAGTGCTGCTTTCTTGTCAGAGTCGTACAAAAATGTCGTGTGCACCTTCTAAGAAGCTCAAGAATCAAGCAAGTAAAATCTATTGTAAAACAGTTCATTGGAGGGTGAGAAGCTGCCACATTAGTAAGAAATCAATGTGGTCCGAGACCATTTTTCCCTTCTTTACTTTTCAAGATTTGTAAAAAATTATACAAAATGTTCGTCATTTCTAGCCTTCAAAATTCGATCCATTCACCTTGCACATATTGAACCGCAGTGTTATCCACTGCGNGTCAGAGTCGTCCAAAAATGTCGTGTGCACCTTCTAAGAAGCTCAAGAATCAAGCAAGTAAAATCTATTGTAAAACAGTTCATTGGAGGGCGAGAAGCTGCCACATTAGCAAGAAATCAATGTGGTCCGTGACCATTTTCCCTTCTTTACTTTTCAAGATTTGTAAAAGATTATGCAAAATGTTCGTCATTTCTAGCCTTCAAAATTCGATCCATTCACCTTGCACATATTGAACCGCAGTGTTATCCACTGCGCTTTCGTTTCACATATGTAACTGTGATGTAGCCCTTCATATAGGAGACAGATCTATTCGAGCGAGCGCATAGACCAAATGAAATCGTGCTGCACGTTCGTCCGGTGTTTATCCAGTATTTCTACTTGAGCTGAGTCCGGTTACTCGAAAAATGATCAGGCCTGGAAGCCCAAAACTTTGCATCCGAAAGTGCCAAGAAGTTTGACCAATCGTAGGTTGGCTTTGCGTGCCAAACATCTCTGGCATTCCGGTTGCAAATGTCCGTTCACGCCGCCTCCGACCGCGGTGTCAATACTTTTGAGCCCCGGCGGCAGGAAAATTATAGAGTCGACCATGTGCGACAACAACCATGTGCAACAAAGGCAAACGATGTCAGGCATTCCAACCGACGTCAGTCGAGTGAACCGAATTGATTGGACCAATTCCAATCAATTCGGTCCAACCGAATGACTTCATAGTGGGTACCACCTGCGCGGTTTGCCCGATGGCGGGCGGGCACCGGCTCATGTGGACCGAGCCCACACTCCCTCCATACGAGGGGTGTGGGCTCAATCCAAAAGGACGGGTGCCTGCCGGCCATAGGGCGAGCCCAAGCTCCGCATCTCGTGCTGGTCATTGCTCTGTGAAAATCACCAAGTGAGAGAGATCAAGAGAAAGAAAACAAGGTGGGTGGGCATATCGAGCAATGATGGTCACTGTCGGCCATTCAACAGCAGATTACTGGGCAAGCACCAACTGCTGGGCAACGAAGTTTAAGTCAGCTTTTGCATGTAATGAGAAGAATCGAACAGATTTGGGATAGAACAGTAGCGATGGTGACGGGTTAGCCAAAACAGTTCAAAGTGGATGAA